AGCCCAGCACCTGGGGGGCTGCGGCAGCCAGAGCTGAGGGTGTTGCGCGGGGTTCATGTTGGTCATTGCTGCTGATGGGACCCCCGTGTCACTTCTCCCCCAGGTTGGGGTGTTCTCTGTTTGCCTGCGGCGTGGGCTACCAACACAGGTAGGACTTTGGGGTTCCCCCAAGCAATTCCCTCCCTCCCTCCCCTTTTATCCTGATGGGAATAGCCTGGTCGCAGTTAAGATCAGAAGGGAAATCATCCACTGCCGGGACTTGGTACTGGCTCACGGGACCCCGATGCCTCCACACGCCCCAACCCTGCACACATGGAGGCGAGGGACAGGGGATGGTCCAGGTGATGGCACAGTGGCTGAAGCCTTGCTCTCCCCTAGTCCTTTGCTGGAAACCTTCGTGTCAGCCCGCCAAGAAGGAGCTGGGAGCGCAGCCATGAGAGTGCCAAAGCAAGAAGGATTTGGGTGGGGAAAAGATAAGAGAGGGCAAGAGACAACTTGGGGGTGACAGAGACCGGAGCAATGAGGGGTGATGTGCCCCACGGCCAGAAACAACCCCCCTGCACCACCACGTGCAACTCTAGCAACCACTGCCGTCAATTGCTGCATGAAAGAGCCGCTGCCCCATTTCACCGGCTTTTGGGGTGAAGACAGAGACCAGAGGGTCCTGGGAGAGGCGGAGCAGCAGGATGGTGGGCGCCAGGACTGAAAGCATCACTTCGGGCTCAGCTCCATGAAACTCAGGGATTCAGCGGGGCGAGTCCAGGCGAGAAACTGGGTGGAAGAAGAGACCATCGGACCAGTCCCCATCTCCTCTCCCCGCTGTTCTGGACTCTTTTGTGATGGGGCACATTGTGCCAGTCACTGCTGTGACTGAGCCAGCACCCAGCAGACATCTCGCTGGCTTTTTTTTTTTGCTTTTTTCTTTTTTTTTTTTGCTGTTGTTTTTTATGTGCGTGTTTGTTTTGTTTCCATAAGCTGAAATAAAGCTGACGCCAATGGGGGAATTCCTGCCTCGTCTTTTGCATTTGCGTGTGCCCAAGAGGGATGTCGGGGCACAGCCACCACCAGGACCACCATCTCCTCCCAGCCGATAATTCGGATCCATCTCTCCCATCGGGAACCACGGGCAAAAACCTCTCCCTGCAATGGTCCTCTCCACGCGGGCTGAAGCCTGCATGGCTATTCCTCTGTGGGGCTGGCGGCTGCGCTTCAAACGAGAGGCACTGAAATTTCGACCCAAAAAATGGGATTATAAAGAGTTTGAATTCTCTCTTCCCCTCCTCCGTTCGACGAGCCAAAGAACGAGCTGACGCTAACGCTTGCTGCAATGGTGGCAACACATGAAGGAGAGACAAAAGCCTACCACCTTCCAAAAGCAGCTGGCGATCTTGTATTTACATTAAAAAAAAAAAAAAAGCTGATTTTCACTAGCAAGTCCCTTCAACCGCGGTCCTTTGAGATAGAATCAAGGCCCCTGCTCCTGCAGCAGCCGGGGCAGGAGGGATGGTGGGATGAGAAGCAATGCTCACCTCGACCCAGACCCACAGCAAAAACACCTCCAGCGGCTCTGCGGTGCTGCCGCAGCTCCGGCACAGCCGGGCTCTTGCCCAAACCCAGCACGCTTTAAACCGGGATTCCCTCCATCCCTCGGCGAGGAGCATCCCGGTGGCACCGTGGGTCATGCAGGGGGATCCACCACAGCCCCTTCCCAGCAGCGGCAGTATGTTCCCTCGCTGACCTTCCACTTTTTCCTCCTTGCAGAGGCCGGAGCAGAGTACACGACGGTGTATGCCCAAGTTGGCCCTTACCAGCAGGTGGGTTTGTGCAGGTTCATCCCTGTCCTCCCGGTACGTGGGCAGACCGGGCTGTGCAGCCGGGGAATCCCTACATGAGATGGGGATGGCCTCGGAGGCCACACCGCGGGGACGTGGAGGAAGGACGGCAGCTGGACAACCCCTGACTTTGTCTGTTAGTTCCTCCTGGAAGCTTGAAGGGGGACATGCCACCACTGGGGCTGGCCCAAGAGGAGCCGGCATGGCCACAGCCACCTGCCTGCACTTCCCGGTGCATTACCAGGGTCTCTGTCCCCAGTCCCACCGAACTCGGCTCCTTTGGCTCACCCACACTTTGGGGTCCTTTTGCCAGCTCCGAGCCCTGGAAACACTTTAAAAAAAAAATCCTTTCTCCAGGTGCACTTGCAGAGTTTCTCCACTGGACAACAAGATGACCCAAAGAAGACGCCGTCCGCTGATGGGGAGACCTCCAAAACCATTTATTTCACCATCCAGGCTACGGGCCAGGTGAGTTGGTGCTCATGGCCATCACCCCCAGAGGGGCCCCAGCGCCAAGCAAGGAGACGGGCAAGACCGCAGGGTGAGAGACCTCACCCAGGAGCAAGGGGTACAGACAGATGGGCCTTCACTGGGCTTTCTTGGGGTCTGGGCGCTTTGAGCCAAGCCTGTGGGTCCCCTCTTTCTTGCCAGCAGAGGCATTAGCTCCTGCAATCCCACACAAAGCTTTTGTCCCTTTGCTATTGCAGACAGACGATGAGAAGATGGGAAACGGCGTGCCGGCGTGCCGGCAGCAGGATGAGAAATGCCACTACACATCGGTCAGCTAGACAGAACCCCTGGCACAGCCCTGGCACGGCTCTGGTGTGCCTGTGAACCTCCTTTGAGCATGATCCTCTCTGCCCGGCGCCAGCTGCAGCATCCCCTTTTCCCTCCCCATCGTTGCTGCCTCCAATTCGCCTGGCGTCAGCAGTCCCCATCCACCGACGGGAGGACGTGAGTGCCCTGTAAGCACAGGCTCGTCTGGCACAGGACATCTGCCCGTGTTTCAGCAGTCCATGCGGGGTTTGGGCTCCTTTTTCTGTGCTCTCTGATCAGTCCAAGGATCATGGACCAAACACTCTGCAGTGCCTTACAGTGCAGAGCCTCAGGATGGGAAAACTTGAGGACAGTCTCGAATCTTTTTCTTCTTGTTCTGCTTTCAAACTTGGCAAATACTTCACCTGCTAAACCAAGAGAAAGCAAAAATAACACTTGGTGGTAGAAAGCCGAATACGGAAACACACGTGCCTTTGCCCAAGCGCACACATGCAGGCTGCTGCGGTTTCGGTGCAAGCTGCTTCCCCAGCACCCTCTGCTCCTGGGCCTGCTGGGGACCCTCTGAACCTCGCAGCGCCCTGGCACCATGCTCAGCACCACTTTGTGCGTGAATGAGCCGCTTGCGGTCCCCTGAGATGTTACAGAGCCGTGCCGGGGTGCAGGGGCAGAGGTGGTCCAGGTACGGGGGAAAATAAGATGAGGGACATGGCTGGTGCTGTTCTGCTATGCTCCTCTGATGTGTTTGTATATGAGGTTTTATTCTTAAATTAAATATTTGTACGCAAAGTGTTATGTCTGCAGAGTTCGGCAGCTTCCCAGCAGAGCTTTAGGGAGGAGATCAGCTCCTCCGAGCCCCGAGCGATGCAGGGATCCTGCACAGCGCGGTGGTGCCTGCATCCCGCTGGGATGTGTGTCCTGCAGCGGGGTCTGCGTAGCTTCACCCCGAGCCGGGACTTACAGGGACCTGAGTGCCCAGCGAGCGGGACGTGGGACACGGGGCACATCCCCACCCTCTCTGTTCCCCAAACCTTCCCAGAGCCGGCAACTGAGCAAAACATGCACATTGGCATCAATTTTTCCGGTGCCACCGGACAGACAGACGCCACCCGCGTTGGCAAGACTTCCTGTGAGTGACGCTTCCCCCTGCTCTTTGTCTTGTCTGTGCGGATAGTAAATTATTCAGGGATGAAACCGGAGGTTTCTTTGAAGTGCCTGGCACAGGAGAGCCCTCTAGGAGCTACTGGAATAAAAATGCAAGACGCATATGTGCTCAATTTCTGCCTGCATATTATTTTGGGTGAAAACAGGCCGTTGTTGACGAGCCCGCAGAGTAATTTGTTTGTTCTCTGTTTTTTCAGACTATGGGACAAGGCTTGTTTTTGGGTTCCTCAAATTCATGCTGATCAATTAAAAATATATACCCCAGTGGGTCATGCATTTTACTAAGGGATTCGTCCGCGTGGCACTCAAATCTGTCCTCGTAACTACAACCTCCGGCCTCGACAGGGCTTAAACCGGCGGTGATGGCACCGGGGACTGGTCCAAAGGGAGTGCTGGAGCATCGCCTCCTCCTTCGCCCACGCCGAGGGCTGACAGCACTCTATCCCTCACCCCAGAAATGACCGCCCCAGGGATGATTTCTGGCCATTAATCACCCTATTTCAGTGCCAACACCTTTGAGCTCACAGGAAGCCGTTGGTGGGGACAGAAAGGGGAAGGAAGACATTGCAAGAGGGGGAGCGGCGGTGGAGGGCTCGGTGGGGCAGAGGGGGATGGAGCCGCGAGGTGTTGGGACGGGCTGGTTCTGCGTTGCCGTGCTCTGCTCCGGAGCTGGTGAGTGGGGCTCGGGGAGGGGATAGTGTGGGGTCTAGGGGCTCCCCCCATCTCTGGGGCCAGAGGGAGGAGGAGGAAGGGGCGGTGTGAAGGCTGTGGATGTGATTGCGTGCCAGGGGCAGGGTAGGATGCTCCCCCAGCTGTTTGAGGGGGGGGCCAAGGTTGAGCGTGCACACTTTATTGTTTGGTTTGGGGCCAGCTTGTGTTCTGGGGGGAAGGATTTGGGTTTCCTGGGCTCTCCCAGCACTCACCCGTGCTTCAAACCCATGCCCTGGGCTCTCCATCCCTTCGCTGGTCAAGCAGCAGGGATGCTCGCTGACCCACCCGGCCCCTTCTGCGGGGCTGTGGGCCAGTTTGCTTGGGGGACCCCATTTCACCACCGTGGAGCAACCCCTCCCCGCTGCCACCGTTGCCGCTTGCCCAACCTCCGTCCGCTCCGCGGTGGGGGCACTGCGCCAGCATGACGCTGCCCCGGCGGCGTGTGACCCTGCGTGACTCCCAACAAACCCTCGGCACTGTCTCCCCGGCATCCACCGCGGCGCTGCGGCAGCTCTGCTGTATATGATGTCCCCCCCTGCCAGCCCCACACCACCGTCCCAAGTTACTCGAGGCCCGAGGGAAGTGGGTTCGCCATTTCTCGCCTCGCGTCTCCCCAAGCCGTGGTGCAGGTTGAGCGAGGTCTGTAGTGCAGGACACCCAGTGGGGTGGGTGCAGACCCCATCTCCGTAGCCCCCCCGGGAGGGCCAGCTGGGCTTTGGGGAGGGACCGACATGAATTAACGCCCCTCGTTGCCAGCTCTTGTCCTCAAAGAAGAGAAGCCAGGGCAGCAAAGCACCACGCAGAGTGGCGATGGCCTGGAGCCAACAGGAGACCCCACCGCCAGCACCGGGGAAGTGGACAAGCTCACGAGGTGGCCAACGGCCACCCTGACTCCTCCTTGGATCAGGGACCTGGTCACCACCCCCACGTTGACACAAGAAGGCGCTGCGGGGAACACAACCCGTGAGTGACAAAGAGAAAGGAAGAGATGTTGGAGTGGGGCCAGAGGAGGCCATGAAGATGATCAGAGGCTGAGAGAGTTGGGGGGGTTCAGCCTGGAGAAGAGAAGGCTCCGTGGAGACCTCAGAGCCCCTTCCAGTGCCTAAAGGGGCTCCAGGAGAGCTGGGGAGGGACTCTGGATCAGGGAGGGGAGTGATAGGACGAGGGGGAACAGTTTGACACTGAAAGAGGGGAGATTGAGATGAGATGTGAGGATCTCTCCTGTGAGAGCAGTGAGCCCCTGGGGCAGGTTGCCCCAAGAAGCTGTGGCTGCCCCATCCCTGGAGGTGTTCAAGGCCAGGTTGGACGGGGCTTGGAGCAACCTGGGCTGGTGGGAGGTGGCCCTGCCCAGGGCAGGGGGTGGGATGAGATGGCCTTTGAGACCCCTTCCAACTCAAACCCTTCTATGATTCTATAAGATGTGGTTTGGGGACATGCCACCATCCTGGAGGGTCCTGCATCCCCCCGCAGAGACCTTCCAGTGCCTCCCAACCCATGCAACCCCCTGTCCCCATCCACCCTTGCGGGCAGCATGCCCACATCTCCTGTCTCTTCCCACAGAAAATGCATCGGGCATTCCCGTCAGGTACTGGTCCCCTGCCATTTTCGTGGTGGTTGCTCTGCTTGTGCTCTTCTTCACCTACCGGCGGACCAAGGGGGAAGGTGAGTTTCCCTCACCGGTGCACCAGCAACCTTGTCCCTTCCCTCAGTTGGGCGTTGGGTTGGCAGAAAAGGGTGACAGCCATCTCACCGCCCACATCCTCAAAGTTTGGTTAAGTGCTGCAAAAAGTCAGTTATTCCGGTGCAGCTCGATGAGGTGGGGGAGGAGGGGGGGCAGGAGGGTCTGGCTTCGTGCTGGGGAGGGGAAGGGCAGGATCAGACCCCGTCCCCAGAAACCCCTTTGGCCACGACTTAGCCCCATGGTGAGGGTTCCCCCCTTGCTCAGCTCTTGCTTTAGAAGTCTGGAAGTTTAACCCAGAACTCCCTTTTCTGCTCAGTTTTGCATCTCTCGCTGCCAGCTCTGCCCTTTCCTCCGCCCCGGAGTTTCTCCTTCTCTGCTTTTAACACAAATCTTGAGGATTTTGTTTCCCTCCTACAAAACAAACCCAAAAGCTCACCAGCTGACCCCCCAGGAACTCTTCCCAGGAGGGTCTTGCTGGGCTTTTTGCAAATCCCAGTGGGCTCCACCATTGTGACGCCTGTGTCTCCCCTGTCCCGCAGGGAGCCAGGACCACGTCGCCTCCACCAGCGACTCTTCAGGTGAGACGTGGTCAACCCAAGCCCCACGAGGCTGAGTCCTCTCGGTATAGCGCCGTTGACCCGCTCTGTGTGCCGTGAGTCACATCCCAGATTGTTGCATTGCAGATTTGGGAGCCCTGGACCACCTCCCTAGCCATGACACCACCCCGATAATCCCCGATCCCCAGGTGAGCCCAGCTGATGGGGATCCTCCGAGCTGGGAGGGCCGAGAGCCACGGTCCAACCCCTGTGTGGCTTTGGGGGCCAAGCCCCAGCCCGTGCCTCAGTTTCCCCATGCATCACAAGCCGTGGGATGCAGCGGCGGCAGGGGATGAGGATGCTCCATGCAGCTCCTCCCG